ACATTTTCAGAACATTTCAGAACAACTTAAATGTACTCATCTCTTTAACATCTGCATCTTTACGGCATCTGTGTTTTGCATTTATTTATGTAAAAAAAAAGGCAATTAAACCTGATCATGCTTTGGTTCACATGAGTTAAATTCTTTGAAGTTTTCAGCTGATAATCATCCATCCTGTACTCCACTGCTAAAGCACTAAATCTTCATATTGATTCATTTCACATAATGTCATAAGAGCACGAGGGCTGCATTGCTGCTATTTCAGGGACAATACGTTGTCTTGTGCAAACTTGCCAAAAATAAAGGGGAAAAAAAGATGAGCTATGTAGAAGGTAGGCGGTTCTTATAGTGACATCAGCGGTACCACACGCCTCTTGGATTATAAATTCAGCATGGTTGCTTCCTCAAAGTCCTCTCCAAACTCAGAAAGACTCTGTAACTGGGAAGAGTGGGCCGGTCACTGCTGCAATAATCATGGCACCAGGAGCAAAGAAGGTGAGTAAATAAGATGTATCTTAACCGTTTGTTTTAAATTTCACTTGTTGCATGGTTCAAGTTTACATTTTCGGTTGCGCAATTTTTTTGCAAAAGGAAGTGGTTTTACGCATAAACAAAAGGAAGTTGTTAGAAGATACTACTAACAGATTCAGATTACGTTATTAAATACTCGTAGGTAGATTTGTTTTGCAGTTTTTGGATAGACTTCCAGACTGTAACAATCTTGCATTTGCAAACTGAGCTTTTCTTTGCTTCTTTCACGCTTTCATATAACGCAGGGAATTTTGGAGCGTCTGGATGCAGGAGAGATCGTTATCGGGGACGGAGGCTTTGTCTTTGCCCTTGAGAAGAGAGGTTACGTGAAAGCGGGACCCTGGACACCTGAGGCTGCAGCCGAGTACCCTGAAGCAGGTAGGCTACCACAACTTTGCTTTCTTTTGCTTGGTGTATGCCGTTACCGGTAGTGACTGTTTCCTAACCTGTAAATCTAGTTCCAAATGCTAACTGAGCCATCTTGTTTTCAGTGCGGCAGCTGCACAGGGAGTTCCTGAGAGCAGGCGCCGATGTTATGCAGACATTCACTTTCTACGCAAGCGATGATAAACTGGACAACAGAGGTCTCACTCAGCGCTACACTGTGAGTAGAGCTTTAATGTGTGTGTGCCTACAGCTGCTCTCAAGTCTCATCTGAAGTTATGAGGAAGTGACAGCAGCTTGGCAGCAGAGTTGGCATGACATCAGCTTCCTGCAGCAAAGAGCAGAAGCAAACACTTTGTGTTCTCTTGACATGAAAGATGCATGTACAGTACAGGCCAAAAGTTTGGACACACCTTCTCATTCAATGCGTTTTCTTTATTTTCATGACTATTTACATTGTAGATTCTCACTGAAGGCATCAAAACTATGAATGAACACATGTGGAGTTATGTATTTAACAAAAAAAGGTGAAATAACTGAAAACATGTTTTATATTCTAGTTTCTTCAAAATAGCCACCCTTTGCTCTGATTACTGCTTTGCACACTCTTGGCATTCTCTCCATGAGCTTCAAGAGGTAGTCACCTGAAATGGTTT